ACCTTACCTGACGGACAGAACTAGAATTCCTCATCAGTAATGAGACACAGCAAGCAGCATAAGCAATAAGTTGACAGTACGTGACTTTTATCGAACTCCTAAGGAGTTACTATTTGCCAGCCTCTCGAAAAAGGACGAAGGAAAATTTTACTTTCCTTTAATTTTATCGTCATCCATGACCTATACTATACATGTATAGGTCACGAGAGACGAAAGTATAGATACTAGAAAATTAACGCTTCTTGCGTCTTACGCCCCATTACTACCCTCAGATATATATGTTTTTTGACCATTTTGCTGAGCGTGTAAAACTGCATATACCCTAAAAGTTTTTCGGTGGGCCGACTCGTTTTGACTCAGTTATGGCTTTCACAAGTTATATGCCTTTATGGGTCCCTTGCCGGTATAAAATTTCGAAAAATAGATAATACAAAAAAGTTAGATTGGCTGACTATGTTATTTTCTCGATGTCAGTCCGGATAGTCAGCACACTGAGTAGATAAATAAGAAAAGCTTTTTATTCGTCACTTCTCACCCGTTATGTTCCTTCTTACACGCGAACAAGAATTTTCTTCTTATCCTGTACTGTTTTTTATTTGTCTCTATTTTCTGTCTACAATACGGAAAGAAAGAAAACAAGGATGCACAATGTGAACGGAGTCTAATCTCCTATGGCTGTATTCTAATCAAACTGACTATGTGCTTGTTCGGCCGATTTCTAAACGTCCATATAATACCAGCTGGAAAATGTGTCTGTCACTTCCACTAAGCAAACCGTGCATTAATTTTGTAGTAGTTGCTACAAAGAAATCACAATAAAAAACACTTCAACACTATTGCTGTGTTTTCTAAGGAAAAACTGGATTACTTAATGATTCTGACTTTCAAACTTGTCTTTGTTTGAACTTAATAAAACAGTTATACAATCGTGTTTTGTAGTCATAGTAAAATCGTCCAATTTATTTTTTAGATAAGTAAAACTGTGGCTAACAGCCAACAATGAAATTAAAATCAACTGGAGAACTCTTGAAAGTCAGCCAGCATTAACCGGGTGGGAATGAAACAAACATTTCATTTTTCATAAATGATTTTCAAATCTTATTCTTTTAACTGCATTCAACAATTTTAAATAGTGACAGCTGTCATTTCCAGGCCAAAAGTCTCCCATTATGATCCGGTGGGAAATAGGAAAGGTGGAGCTAGTTTAGTTGTCAGAGTACTTACCCTCTAACTGTCTTTCCGATGAAGGTAAAGACCTGCGGTTATTGCCATTGAATTCAGGATCTGAAAGTGCATCTAGAAATGTGTTTTGCGTTTTATGCGTAACGAGTTCTGTATAGCGTAGTAGGATGCTTATGGGACTACCCTTTATTAGAAAAGAATGAAAATATTTTTCGCTTCCACACTCTTCCACATTTCTATCAAAGTCGTTCTCGGCTGTATCTACGTTTGTTAAGTGGGTAAAAAGAAAACAAATATCACAAAGTTGTCAAAAGGAAGAGAACACTAAAAAGAATACTGGAAACGAGGTGATCCAAAGTGGATTCGGCTTGTCCTGTAAGAGTCCATCAGGGAGAATTCTCACCAAAATATTCATTGTTATCCGCGTTCCAGTCAAGATTTATGCCGTCACAAATAATTTTCCAAATAAAAAGTTATTGTCTTTATTGTATAAGAGGATTTCTCTAACTGATTGAATTGCACACGATTAATAATGACATGTGATCGCTACATGTCACTATTAATCGTGTGCGATTCAATCAAAAATAGAAAATAAAATATACAATACAGTCAATAAGTTTTCGTTCTACCTCTTTTTCGTTTCGATTCTCAAGGACAGATCTAGAAAAACACTGCATGTGATACTCAGAGATCTACAGTGATTGAAGAGAAATAAGATGTTCAAACAATAGCGATGCCAAGAGTGTAAAGCCGCGAAGTATAATCAATATGGCGTATCCTTTTTTCCGTAACGAGTTCGGTAAAAGGAACTTTCGTCACAACGCACTTTCGTCATAGGGGGGGGTGTACTTTCGCCACATGTGACCAAAGTGCGTTTTTCAGAAAAAGCATGGTGACGTAAGTTCCCGTGAATTTCGGAGTGCTTTTTGTGGCTGTGACGAAAAATTCACATTTTGATGACGAAAGTTCCGTCGAGTATGACGAAAATACCCTTGTTTTTAATGGTTCCTGCTTAACTTTCATCACACGTAAATACCGCTATAAATACAGAATACAATCAAGTGCTGTGATTTTATTATGTGATCGGGAGCACTTCCTTAGTAGGAGCTGCACCTAGTATATACTCCACTGCAGTACTTCCTTAACAAGTACTTACAGCGGATTATGTGCCTTTCTCATGAGATAAGAAGTAAAACTAATGAAGCGCTTGCTGAGGTAGTACTTCCTGACTGATTACTGCTTATCCTAAACTTAAAGGATTATCTCTCTTTCTTTCTGTCATGAGTAAAACGATGACATCTTTCTCTCGAAATTGTCTGTATTGTATATTTTATTTTCTATTTTTGGTTGAATCGCACACGATTAATAATCCTGTGTAGCACATATCGTCACATATCCTGATTAATCGTGTGCAATTCATGAAAATTCTCAGATTCTAGAATTTCAGAATTTAATTTCAAGAACAATATTTTGATTCTTTTCTAATAAAGGGTAGTCCCATAATGATCCTACTACGCTATACAGAGTTCGTTACGGATAAAACGCTATAATATTGATTATACTTCGTGGCTTTACACTCTTGGCATCGCTATTGTTTGAACATCTTATTTCTCTTCAATCACTGTAGTCTACGGTGATTTTTGAAATTCTAGAACTTGAGAATTTTCATGAATTGCACACGATTAATAACGATATGTGATCGCTACATAGGATTTTTAATCGTGTGCGATTCAGTCAAAAATAGAAAATAAAATATACAATACAGACAATTTCGAGAATTTTCAGAATTTCTAGAATTTTAGAATTTCTAGAAAAATATTTTCATTCTTTTCTAATAAAGGGTAGTCTCATAATGATCCTACTACGCTATACAGAACTCGTTACGGAAAAAAGGATACGCCATATTGATTATACTTCGCGGCTTTACACTCTTGGCATCGCTATTGTTTGAACATCTTATTTCTCTTCAATCACTGTAGATCTCTGAGTATCACATGCAGTGTTTTTCTAGATCTGTCCTTGAGAATCGAAACGAAAAAGAGGTAGAACGAAAACTTATTGACTGTATTGTATATTTTATTTTCTATTTTTGATTGAATCGCACACGATTAATAGTGACATGTAGCGATCACATGTCATTATTAATCGTGTGCAATTCAATCAGTTAGAGAAATCCTCTTATACAATAAAGACAATAACTTTTTATGTAGAAAATTGTTTGTGACCTCATAAATCTTGACTGCAAAGTTGGAGAAAACGTGGTTGAGGGTGTTTGTTATTCAGAAATGAACGGGTCAGTGACTACTTGGCGGCTTTACACTGTTGCTATCGCTATTGTTTGAACATCTTGTTTCTCTTCAATCACTGTAGATGTCTGAGTATCACATGTAGTGTTTTTCTAGATCTAGCCTTGAGAATCGAAACAAAAACGAGGTAGAACGAAAACTTATTGGCTGTATTGTATATTTTATTTTCTATTTCTGATTCAATCGCGCACGATTAATAATGATATGTAGGTTGAATGCCGTAGGTTTTACTATAAGAGCAGTATTAGCTTTCGATTTTGTCAAACATACCAACAGTAGGGTAAAGAAGAAGAAGAGCCAAATATCATCATGATCGGGAGCAAGTCGACGGAGCTTATCATTTTGGCATTAATTTGTGCAGCAACGGTTGTCAGTGGAAAATCAGTTCCATTGTCAGATGAGGTAGATGCCGGCGATAATAATGAAACGGGTGGTGGTTTGAGCGTCAGTTTAACGATCACATCCACCTCAAATGCAACGAAAGAAGGTGACGATGGTCAAGTCAACGTACAATTCAGCAACGCAGGAGAAACAACCCTCTACATCTATCAGATCGCCGTACCGTCCAACGGTATAATGTTGATACCTCTGTTCCACCTCACTCTCCATGGCAAGAAAGTATCCTACGTCGGGCCTCGTTTTAAACTGAGTGCAGCAGCAGTTTATGCGACTATCGCTTTGGCACCAGGCGAGAATTTGAATTTTATCGTCTCGCTCAGCCCCTACTACGATCTACGTGCCAGTGGCCCGTACAAGATTCGATACCAGCAGTTTGCTGATCGTGTGCTGAAAACTCAGTCTGCTGCTGCTAAGGCAACTATCGTGTCGAACATCCTGACACTCCAACTCAACGGCGTTAGCAATGCAGTTTTGAAAGAAGCAGACCGACGTCGTCTCCTGCTCAGCGCAAAAAAGGAAAACGGTGCCGGTAAGGCGGAGTCCCCTCAGATCACCTTCAACGACGAATGTACTGACAAGCAGAAAACCACCATCGCAGCTGCTATCGCACAAGCCAAAGAGTACACGAAGGACACACAAAGTTTCTTGGCTAATGACATATTAAAGGAAAAAAAGGAGCGCTTCACCAAATGGTTCGGTATAGCAGAAGGTGGTTCTGAAAGGAGTTCAGCTATCCAGGAAGAACACTACAGTGCAATCGCGGATCACTTCATCAAAGTCAAAGATGTTCTTCACAACCAGCCGCAGAAGTACTTTTGTCGAGTTGTTAACCTTGACCAATGTACGAGTGGTACCTTCGCCTACGTTTACCCGGATATGCCCTATGAGTACAATCTATGCACCACATTTTTCGAAGCGGAAGTAGCTGGTACAGATTCGCAAGGCGGTGCACTTATTCACGAAACAACTCATTTTCTTCTGGTTGCTGGTACCGATGATGTTGCGGATACCGGCGATAATGCGGCTACATACGGCAAGGAGAAGTGTGAACAACTGGCTAAGAAGAACCCGACTTTAGCAGTTCAGAACGCAGATAACAATGAATATTTTGCTGAAAACTCTCCTTGATGGACTCTTAGAGGATAAGCCGGATCCGCTTTCGAACAGCTTATTTCCAGTATTCTTTTTAGTGTTCTCTTCCTTTTGACAACTTTGTGATATTTGTTTTCTTTTTACCCACTTAACAAACGTAGATGCAGCCGAAAACGACCTTGATAGAATTGCGGAAGAGTGTGGAAGCGAAAAATATTTTCATTCTTTTCAAATAAAGGGTAGTGCCACAAGCATCCTACTACGCTATATACAACTCGTTACGAATAAAAGGCTACGCCACATCGATTATACTTAGCGGCTTTGTACTCTTGCTGTCGCTACTGTTTGAACATCTTATTTCTCTTCAATCACTGTAGATCTCTGAGTATCACATGTAGTGTTGTTGTAGATCTGTCCTTGAGAATCGAAACGAAAAAGAGGTAAAACGAAAACTTATTGTCTGTATTGTATATTTTATTTTCCATTCGATTACTAATGACATGTAGCGATCACATCATTATTAATCGTGTGCAATTCAATCAGTTAGAAAAATCCTCTTATACAATATACTATCTCTTTTGCCGCAACTAGTCTATAGATACGGAACAAACAAGGAAATCTGACTGATCAATTCCAAAGAACTTAAAAGAACTGAATCTGACTGTCCTGGGTCATTTCTGACTTAATACGCATTATGCAATAGAATTCTGACCAAAGTTGACTCAAAACACAAGTTTCCAAAAACTTCAGCTTTCAGACATCTACCACCCATTAAGAGAAGAACCGTCTGTATTTGAATAGAAGTAAGAGCATGTGTTCAGTGTTTGTTCTGAATTTCTATGGGAGTGTTCTAATCAGAAACTTAAAATTCAGTGCTTCTATTCTGAATGACGTATACTCTTCGACTGATAAGAAGGAAAACGAACAGAGGAACCAGAGCATATATAAAACGATAATAAAAAAGAAAAGAATTGTACGTCTTATTTGCACAAAGCCTAATATCTGAATGTTTGCTTGCTATACATAGTGTCTATTCACATTGTGGTAAAAACAATCAATCTTTTCGCATGTATTCTTAAAATAATAGAACCCTGAAAGTTACCTCTTCCCTCTCTCTCTCTGTTTTTGTATGTAATCGCGATTATTCATACGTACGCAGTTGACCATTTTACTACAAAAACCACAAAAACAACTTGATTACTTATTGTTTTCCAATGGATAGACACCACTAGTGTTTTGTATGATACGCTATCAGGTGAGTGCAGTGGTGTTGATCTTGAGTCTTATACCCCTCGTTTGTCGATCTCAAAAAGTGGAGATCAAAAGCGACAGAAAATATGAGTGAAATAAGCTGCTATTACACGATTTGAAAAAGTGAAAAACATAAAGTAGTGAATGGAAAACCTGAGTGGTATATTTAATTGAGCTACGTCGATTGTATATTTTTCCTGCTATTGGTGTCGTGCAAGTTGAGAATTAAACTTTCATATTGAAGTAACAGAGAACTCAACACCATTTTCGCGGAAAACCTTATTTAAATGTAATTGAAAAGACTCTGTCGTATATTATTCAATTGTCTATTTCGGATGTTATTGGTTTCGAGTTATTTTCAGTTGTCTGGACAAATGGATCAAAATAACTCCCAGTCTCTTCTGTGATATTTGTTTGTCGAGTTTCACAGGGTTTTCTCAGAAAAATAGGTCGATAGATTAGGCTATCACTCGAACGGTGTACAATTCTTTTTTGTAAAAAAACGTCATTTTCTCTTGTAGCGAAAATTGAGAAAACAAGAACCAAAACTGGAGCCTATTTCCCTTTATTGGAAATTAAATTGTTGATTATAAATAATAAATGGAACATTCACTTGTTTATTTTGGTTCCGGATGGGATATTTCACCCATATTGTTTGATTTTCAATTGAAAATAAATATTAATTTTCAAACATTTATATTTGTCGATCGTTTGCCATTGCATCCTCATTATGTACCAACAACAAAAGATTATATGTTAAGTGGTGGTGGTGGATCAGATAGACGGTTGCTATTTAGTATTTCAAAGGCATTGTCGAATAACAACTTGTCTGTTAATGAAGAAAAACATAACAAGGATCGTCATCAATATATGCTGAGTAATGGAAAAAAATTAGTTGTTTATTTAAATATAGCTTATCCGCCTGAAACGAATAAAAATATGCATATTGATGAATTTTTATACGAGATAAAATCTGCTGAAGGCTTATGGGTGTATGGTTATGATCCAGTGCCAAATGAGCAATTATTGATTCTGTGTCACAATATAAAATTTGTATTTCAACAAACACAAAATGTTCTAGAAAGATTTCCAATATTACCACAAATACAGGTTTTTTACATCTGTTATTCGAATCTCATTTTACTGGAATCATTAGAAAGGACACAAGATGATAATAATGTTTTGGCTGATTATCGAAGAAATCCGACCAAATATAATCTAGAATTTAAGTAAGATCTTACTTTATTCTTTTTTACTGAGAAGATAGAATGGTAAAGGTGACAAGACGAACAAGACAGAAAACACCTTTCCTCTTTGGTAGAATCCACACGATAAGCTTTTTTTCTGTGATTCAAGGTCCAATGTCGTTTCCGTCTCTGTAATTTAAGATAGTATTTTGACACAACATGTATGAAAATGGCTCATTTGGATTTGGTGATATGTGTCAATGATCTGGTTTCAACTAGGTTCTACATCTTTTTTCCGATCATTTCTACGTAGATTTTATGCAGAAAAGTCAGTGCTGCAAACTTAAACTTTCTAAAACCTAACGGCATGTTCTTAACTGACTAAACTTCTTACAAATAAATGAGTTTTTACTGACAAATCTTTCGTTTTGAACTTTTTTTACTTGAAGTTTTAACTCTAAACATAGATTGAATGTTAGGTTTAGTTAAGTTTTTTATGCGCTCTTGAATGAAGCATTTCCCAACAATAACGAACAGAAATGTAGGAGAAACTGCTCCTTCCATTCAATTGCGAATTTCTCAGCTAGAAAACACGTGGGCCTCCTTAATCCTTATTCATAACCTTATTTTTGTATTGCGAATCCAGTGAGACAAGCGGCTTGAGACAAAATAAAAATTCGTTTTATGTTACAGTATAGAAGAAAAATATTCGGTTCTGTCCAGAATACTGTCTTAAAAGTTTAGCCAGTTTATTTAAAACGGTAAATTCCTTCTATTTTTCTAGCGGTTTCAATGAAACAGATTTTATTATTGAGCCCAATAATGATCCACAAACAAGAGCGATGGCATCATGGATCGAAGAACAGACACAAAAACAATTAAACAATGGTGCACGCAAACTTCCAACAATTCAATGTATAAAACAAGGAAACAATGAAACAATATATTTTAATGATGAAAGTGATGAGAGTACAGGAGAGAGCGGCCAAATTTATAGCGATTATGGATTATCATCAAGTGAATAAACAAATATTCAACAATAACAAACAAAACTCAAATATAAGAGGAAGATTATTTAAACATTTAACTGATGATATTATTAAATATTAGATATAAAGACATTGGTCACTACCAAATGGATTCAAATGATATCGATAATAAAATGATTTAGAGTGAAATATGTATTTTTTCTAATTTTTCATTTTTGTTATTAAATATATTTAGTGTACAAGTGATGACAGCTGAAATTTTCTACATTTCTAATACATGTCCCTCTGTTAAAGCTAACTGCCTCCCTAAAACTCCTATCAAAAACGTCCTGACAATAATCGAACAAAGACATATAACTTTATAAGTTCGCATCTTACTTATTAATCTTACGCATCTTACGAATTAATAACATTTTTCTTTCATTTTAGTTAAGTTACTGTTGTCAACAGTCTATGTGTGTCTTATTCTACTATTACTACGGTGCCCGTGAACTTTATGTCATAAAATGCCATAGATTCAGAGATTCACAACAAAAGAGAATTTGTTAGTTCGTTCACATCAGTCAGAAATGTCTTTTCTACATAAAAAGATTCTCATCACTCTTTTTCTTTCCTTGAAGATTAATAAATAAATTCCCGGCACTTGAACCGTTGCATGCACAAGGTACCGATTTTAATGGCCCATGCAACTTCGTTTAACTTGGTATCTTTCAGATGCAATGACTCTCATACATCGCTCCAATTTAATTCTTTCTCTTTCAGAAAAGAAAAAGAACGATGGCAAGCTTTTTATTTTCTATACGCATCGCACCATACGTCAGACAAAACATTTGTAACTAATGTGGAAGAACTAACAAGTTCTCTTTTGTTGTGAAGGCACGTAATGCAAACTTGCAGTGAAATTTATTTTTCAATTTATTATACATATTCGGATTCAGCTCAACGAGCTGATCACGAATAACGCGTTCCGAGTCTCGTCCGAACCGGGTGACTCATTTTGTAAAGTTATCTAGTTTGTTGGATGAAGGGCTATACTGACGACTTCGTCACACATTATTATAGATCTCACTTGAACTTTATAAGTTCGCATCTTACCATATATAGAAGTTATCCACTGTTTGTCCTATCTTCTTTTTGGTATCTCGCGTTAGCCTGTACATTTTATTCTCTTCATTTAATTAGAGATCAGAATGTATTAAATGGACCTATTACCCGTGCGAAGACTAAAGACAATGCCAAGAATAATTATACAGGGTGGTAAATAATATTATTCAAGGGGGGTAACGCTATAATTCTAAATCGGAGATATGATGAATTTTATACCAAATGAAAGCCCGTGAAAAATGGGATTTAGTGATGCTAAATAGTAAGACTTTGAAGGACTTTCGTGCATTGAATTATCAAAAGGTACGACTTCTTATCGACACAAAATATTATAACGGGTGTGCCATAATAAACTGGACTAAATGTTACTGCATATTATTCATACTTTCTCTTCAAATAAAAGGTTCCTTTATATACCAAAAGATAGAAAATTGAATTCTTTACAAAACCTACTATCTGAATCTCTGAGAGCATTTGTCTTGTTTGAGCACCATTCAAAATATTGAAGGGTGCTGAGTTATCGAGATGCGGCATATCGAACTGCGAAAAACATTTGCCTTGATTCAAAAACAGATTCCACAAGGATTTTGAAAACAGTAGAAGATTCACCGGAAAATTTTGCATCTTCTCAAATATTTTTCAAAATTTTGTAGTTAAATCTTCTAGAAAAATTTCTCTGTGCAAAAAGCTGATAAATCTAAAAAAACCTAACTTTTGAACCTATTTTTCATAGACGTCTATAAAAGCAGTAAAACGTTGATGGTGCTCAAAAAAGAAAAATGCTCTCAGAGATTCAGATAGTAGGTACAACTATCTATATACGGAACTGTTGTTGTTGTTGTTGTTTATTAGCGAAAAGAAACAAATTTCAATACAAGAAAAGCTCGATGTTAAAGCTTACCAAGGCTCTTGTCGAAGGTTAGAAAAACAGACCGAAACAAAGCGCCATCGAACCAGAAAAACGCTATCGTGTGAGTGGAAAAAAAATGAAATGATATACTGAACCATTTCAGACCCAAACTAGATCATGTGTTATTAAGGAACTTCTGGGTATTGTATTATTGTTATATCTGGCGCCTTGAAAAAGTTGCTATTGTCTCATGTGTTTAACGGATGGTCCCTCCTGCATGCTATTCATTTCGCGTAAATCACACAGAGAATATTCGTTTCAGGTAGGGAAATTACGATTAACCGACGTTTGAGCGCCCGACATTTGAGCGCCGACACTTGAGCGACCGACAGTTGAGCGACCCCGACACTTGAGCGACCGACATTTGAGCGACCGACACTAGAGCGCCCCCTACACAGCCTCACTCTCAGATCTCCAAATAATTCAGTTCATAATCGGACGACAAAAAAATTTTTCTGATCATCGTTATCGAAGTGAATAATCATTCGACTTTCCTGATCGGCAAAAAGTCATATTGAAAAGTGTCTAATGTCGGAGTCGCTCAAACGTCGGCCGCTCAAATGTCGGTAGCGGGGAAATTGCAAACTTGGGGGATTCGGAAAGTGC